GGCTGGTGCCAAAGCCCCCATGCCCCCAAGCACACCACAGACCCTCCCGGGGGGGGGGGGTATGACCTGCAGGCAGCTGCTGATCCCAGCGACAGGCCAGGTGGCATACCTGGTGTCTCTACTCTCTGATAGTGGTAGGGATTCACGCAGACCTCGTCCTTCTTCATGTTGAAGGCGAACTCACATAGCTCCATGGCCCGCAGCTCGTGGTGGCTGTGCAGGTCGGGCCATCGCCACAGGCGGCAGTAGATGACATGGGGGAGCCCTTTCCGATGGGACACCTGCAGCCGGCCATCCAAGGACCTGCCGGGACAGGGAGGGGCAAGAAGAGACAGTGAGGTAGATTTTGCTGGTCTCCCCTCCAGGATGGCCACCTGCAGCTCCAGACGTGTTTGCTGGCAGGCACTCAGAAAGCTGTCCCCTCCCCTCACTGCTCTCAGATGCAGAGGCCAGATCAGAGAGTCGTCATTAGTGCTGGAACGCATTCCAGAAGAAGACAACAGAGACCCACTATGGGAGGCCAAAAGGCCATAGGCATCCCATAGCTGGCAGGGTGCACCTTGCACCCCCAGACCCCAGAAGGAGTTCTCCACCCCATTCTGCTCTTCGCTCCTGCAGAGAGCTACACTCCATGTAAAGGGGACAGCACTGGACTCATGCTTGGCAAAGGTCCATGAGCCACTACTCTGGTCCCTGCTCACGTGGAAGTATGGAGAGGGGATAGGACAGAACAAGGCAAGGAGAGCTCTCCAGGCTCAGATGTGGGGACCACAGTGACTCGAGGAAGGGTGGCCAGTACACGGCTGTCTCTAATCGCTCCAACAAGCACCCAGTTCCTCCCTCACATGTTAGAAAAAAAAACCCCAAAACCCTCTCCTGTTTAGTTGTTATTTGTGGTGAAGCAGAGAGGGAAATGAAAGGGAATTTAAAATGGTAAAAGCCTCCCTGCAGACCTCTCAGGAGTGCCTTTCAGTTCAAGGGCTGTTTGCAGGTAGACCCAGGTGTGACATCCACAACTGTCTCCTGATTCTGAGACTTCAGAGCTAAGGCCTAAGGGGCCGTGCAAGAAGTGGACAGGGACAGGGCCTGGGACTCCACACCAGGCATGGTCCTGCAACTGCCCCCTGCCTTGCTGGGACAAACACCTGCAAATGACCAGTGCCCTGACCGTGGGCAAATAATGTCTTCTGTGGTGATTTGGCCTCCAAGCGGCTGTGACCTGGTGCCCCTGCTCTCAGGCCAGGCTGAAGTGTGGTCCCTGACCAGCAGCAGGGGTCCAGGGAAGCTTGTTAAAAATGTAGACTCTCAGAGCCTATCCCAGCCTGCTAAATCAGAATCTTCCTCTTTATAAAATCCCCAGGTGACTTGCATGACAACAGTTTAAGCAGTACTACAGAACATGACAACTGAGCTGCTCAGGAGTGTCAGAAAGCATCGCCAGCCACAAGCAAGGGGCTGCGAGATGTAAGATGGCATCCAGTATCAGACAGGCAAGGGGATTTCACTGGCATGAAACCCCTTATTTAGCACAAATTTGATGAGCATCTGTCACATAAATGTAAGGGGACAGTGGCAGAGACCTCACAGTGGAAACAGACCAGCAGAGTGGAGTGATGCTTTCTCCCATGGAGCTTCCAGTCCAGTGTGCAAGACTGACATCAATCAAATAATCACGTTAGCTACAATTGCAAACTATGAAAGTGTTCTGAAGGAAGAGTACAGGAAACCACGAGAGTATTTGACCATGGGGGCCTCCCTTTGCTGAAGGGTTGGACGAGGCATCTCTCTGAGGAGGTGATGGCCGACCTGAGGTCTAAGGGATAAGTAGGAACTAAAGGGGTATGGGAGACGAGCATTTCAAGCAGAGGGAAGAGTACGTGCAAAGGCCCTGTGCAGGGTGGACAACATCGTAAGGCAGGAGGAAAAGAACGAAAGCCAGAGCGATGGCAGCGGAGAAGCCAGAGAGCTGGGTACAAGCTGAGGCTGGGGTGGCGGGTAGGGCTGACTCTGTAGGGCCATGGGGGCCACAATAAGAGTGCTTTTTTCTAAAAGCACTAAGTAGCCTCTGAGATGTCTAAGTGGGCTGTGTGTGTGAGTGTCAAAGAGACAGGCCCCATGAGACTTCTGGCTGCATCTGACCAACAGGTCGGGGGTAGTGGGGTAGGGGAGTGCAGAGCAGATGAGATGGATGCTCATGAAAGAAGAGGTACCCTGGTAAGAGGCAGTGCTGCTCTTTCTACAAGAAGGCCCATCCTAGGCCCTCACTGGTTAGTGGCATGATTTTTTGAACACTGGGCAGGGCTGGCAGAAAGACATTTGCAAGTTATCCCCCTGTGTCCCCTTATGACCAAAGGCACCCATTTGTCTGAAAAAGAGGATTTATGGGCATCTGAGAGGAAGGGGCCAGCCAGTTGCAACCAGAAACACCAACCAAAGAAAGAGAAACAGAGGGATCCAATCAAACTCTCCAAGTCACTGGCCAAAGGACAGACAAAGGTCAGTGCTGGCCTTGGTCATAGGGACTGACTGGGAGCTGCTGACTAAGGGCATCTCGAAGGATGTAATTACCTCCCTCCTGTGGGGCCCCAGACCAAGGAACCCCTACAGCTAAGAAACACTAATTACCAGGCTGAACAAGAGAGGACAGCCTGGGACTCGTCCCTAAGGTATAGAAGGAAGATCATCTGATGTGGAGTCATAAGACTTGGGGACAAGATGTGGCTCTAGTCCCCTAGCTGTGAGACTGTGGGCAAGTCATGAGGAATCCAGGATCTTCAGTTGTCCCATCTATAAAATGGGGATATTGTCCCACTCCCCTGACCTCATGATGCTCAGTATCCATTTGAACGTACTTTGTAAAGCACCAACAAATGAGCATTATTACTTTACAGCAGCCACTCTCCACACCCAGCCCTGCACAAGTGGGATGAACTGTGGGGTTGAATAGGAGAGAAAGGGACAGTGGGAAGCGGCGAGTGGGGACAGGGAGTTACTCAACTGTCCTCATTCTCTTGCAAAGCCACCAAGTGCCCACAGTTTAGGGAAGTGGCCACATTTGCTTTTCAATGCTTGACAAAAGCCTCAACAAAGGGCCAGCTGGACATTGTAGCCACCTCTGCAGGGGAAGGCCCTGGAGAAAGGCTCAGGCCAGCAGCAAGGGGAGGAATGAGGCTGTGGAGGGGGGCCCCACTTGGGTGACGGAAGGGGGTGGGCATTTGCTTTGAAAATAATATTAATAATACATGAATTATTTTGATAATAATTAAATTTTTAACAAACAAAGGAGCTGGAGTAATCAAGGCAGTATGGTAATGGCATAAAGACTGACAAATAGATCCATGGAACCTAACAGAGTCCAGAAATAGTCACATATACATGGACAACTGATTTCTACAAAGGCCAAAAGACAACCTAGTGGTGAAAGGACAATCTTTTCAACAAATGGTGCTAGAACAACTGGATAGCCATATGCTAAGAAAAATGAACTTTAACCTATACATTGTACCCTATACAAAAATTAACCAAAGTGGATCAAAATGTAAAACTTAGAACTATAAAACTTCTAGAAGAAAACATAGGAGAAAATCCTTGTGACCTTGAGATAGACAATGATTTTTCATATGCCACACCAAAAACACAATCCATTAAAAAAAAAAAGTTGGTAAATCAGACTACGTCAAAATTTAAGTTTCTGGTCTTTGAAAGAGACTATTAAGAGAATAAAAACATAAGCTGCAAATTGGGAGAAAATATGTGCAAACCATATATCTGATTTGGACCTGTTTCTAGAATATATAAAGAACTCTGAAAATTCAATATTAATAAACAATCCGATTTCTTAAACAAACAGGTAAATGATTTACACAAACACTACATAAAAAGACTTAAAGATGGCAAATAAGCACATGAAAAGATGTTCGACCTCACTACTCATTAGGGAAGTGCAAATTACAACTGCAGTGACACAGCACTACGTAATTATCAGAGTGGCCAAAATGAAAATGACTGTGCCACGTGTTGGCAATGATGTGGAGCAGCTGCAACTCTCAAATGTTGCTGGTGGGAGTGTAAAATGATACAACTACCTTGGAGAACATTTTGGAAGTTTCTTAAAGATATGAACCTACCATATGATCCACCCATTACATTTCTAAGTATTTACACAAAAGAAATGAAAGCGTATTCCAAAGACTTGTGCGTGAATGTAATAGCCCCAAACTGAAAATTATCCAATGTGCATCAGCAGATGAATGAACAGACAATTTTATATCCATACAAAGGAGTACTACTGAGCAATAAAAAAGAATGAATTATTGCTACACACAACACTATGAATGAATCTAAAAATAATCACACTGAGTAAAAGAAGACAGGCATGATTCTGTTTATGTAAAATTATAGAGTAATTTAAAATAAAGTAAAAATGTAAACTAATCTATAGTGACAGAGAGCAGATCGGCAGGGATGGAGGGGTATGTGCAGGGATAGATGAGAGGGAGAGATTACTAAGAGGCCTGAGGAAGCTTCCGGAAGATATAGGTTATATTATCTTGATTGTAGTGGTGGTTTATGTGTGTATACATACAAAAAAAATCTATTAAATTGAACACTTTAAATATTTGCAGTTTATTTGTAAATTATCCCACAATTAAAAAAAAAAAAAAAAAGCAAGGACTTTGGAGTTGGATAAACCTGGATATAAATACTGACTCGGGGGCTGGCCAGTTAGCTCAGTTGGTTAGAACATGATGCTGACAAAAACGTCCAGGGTCCAATATCTGTACTGGCCAGCTGCCAAAAAATAAATAAATACCGACTCTGTACTCACTAACTATATAAACGTGAGCAAATCATATAATGTCTCAGTCTTACTATTTTTCATCTAAAACGTAAATCTCTTCATTGGACTGTTGGGAGGACCAAATGATATTCTGTGCAGAAAGCCCTTGGCACATACTAAAAACACAATAAATGGCAACAATCTACTGGCATTACTGTTGTGTCGCTATTACTGCCTCATTACTATGATTGTGCCTGGCAAAGTAAGGTACACAGGAGGTGCTCAAAAACACCAGTCCCTGTCCCTGCTTCAGTGATCTGGGTGCACAGTCAGGAGAGTCACAATGAGACCTCATGTCTGCCTGGTGCTTTTAACTTTCACAGACTTCTGTGCCCTTTATCTCAGATCATCCCCACCACAATGCTGTATGGGAAATAAGGCAAGTCTTGGAAGGGTCCCACCTCACTGCATCCCAGTACATTTGAGAGGCAGAGCCCATGTCCTAGCACCACATGGCATCTGC